TGGGAGAGATTGAGGTGTGAAAGAAGCTTAAGGTTTCCAAGTGATGAAGAAAAAGTGCCTCCTGTGTGGCCCTTGGATGGCAACCGCAATTGGATGATCCAACCGTTCTGATTACATGTGATGCCTTCCCACTGGCAACAATCAACTGAAGCAGTCCAATTCAATGCCGGGGAAGACAGAGCGCTCGCGAAGGACTTGAGGGCGCTGCGTTCGGTTAGATCACATGCATGTATTGTGAATAAAATGGAAGAAAACAAGAGGATGAGAAGGAAGCCATGAGAGAATGGATGATCCATCTCAGGTTCAGATTACTCACAGGTTTTCTTCTACACGCGTAGATAGGTATGCATATATGTCTGAATTTGCAGAGTAGATACACATTTTCCGCATGGCTTCAAAGTCGTTGAAAGATTCTTTAATCTCTTAGTCTTTGGTTTGACTGTAGCTTTCGTTGATTTAAAGGAAACAAAACAATTAGAAAGGACGACTCTGCTTTTCTTTGCGGCTCGCTCTCTGTTTGTTTCTGCATAAATCAAAATTCATCGAATTTCAAGTTGATTAAAATTTCAGGTTTTTGTTTTAGGTTAAGAGAAGAGCGAAATTTTTGTTAATAAAATTTCAGGTTTTCTTTGCGGCTCTGTCTCTGTTAATTTCGTTTTCAGTTTTAGTTTTCATTTTTATTAAAAATGAAACTTAATATATATTTGGTAACTGTTTTTAGTTTTCTAAAAAGGAAAATTGACAGCAAATTTTTTTGAGTTTTCAAAATGGGAGGTGAATTGTCACTTAGTACTACGGTTTAGTAGTATTTCTCTTCACTTGTAAGTAAAACGTTTTAGGTTCGATTCTCACCAAAGGCTAATTTGAATCACAATATTTATACCACTAGATTGTATTAATAAGTGGCTATTTCTAGCTATTATATTGAATAAACCAAATAGAATCCATGACTATAATTAAACAGGAGTATGCAAATAGCTAAATTTGCATGCGATTGTCAATTTCCTTCAACTTGCTTTGTTTATTTAACTTTTTTGAAAATTGAAATAATTATTAGACAAGTAAGAAAAAAGTTTTCCAAATTAAGAAGAGAACTTAGAAAATTTAACTATCAGATGACAACAACCTTTTCAACTGGATTAGTCGATTCATATTAGAATTCGTTGTAAAATCATATCAACAACTATTTCATTTAGCATTCGTAATTGCGCACTTTTGATTTTTCAATGAATTTATTTACTTAAACAAAAAGCAATTACTGTTAAATGCAATAGTACTAAAACTTAGATGGCCTACCATGTTGATTTGTTTCACAATATGTAAGTCTTTTTCTTGACTTTAAAAGCCAAGCCACAATACACTAGTGGAAAAACATGTTTGCGCGACGGCATCTTGCATGACGGAGAAAATTTTGTAGCGCAAAGTCCGTTTGCGCGACGTATAACACAAAATGTCGCGCAAACGCACTTTGCGCGGCGAAGGAAGAGTTGCGCAAAACGCCTTTGCGCAACGCCGTCATTCGTCGCCAAACTTTTGGCGCCAAACCAAAAAGGATTTACCGCTTTTTTCGTTGACTTTGCGCGACGTAGGTCCTCATGCCTCGCACAAAGCAGCTTTGCGCGACGCATGAGGACCTACGTCGCGCAAAGTCAACGAGTTTTTTTATTTCATTTGATTAGTTTGGAAGGCAGAAACTGCAAACTCAGTTGCAGCAGCTACCTCCATCTTCCATCTCTCTTCAAAATCGTCTACCAGATCAGGTTTGAATTGATATTAATTCTTTGTCTTTTTTCGATTGCAATCCTTCCCTTGCTCTTAAACATGATGTAAACTGAATTAATAATATGTAGATCCTTCATGTGATTCATTTACGAAATTGAAATTGTAAAATCAAGGGAGATAACTATCTTGTTGATTTTCTTTTTCTCTATACACCAGGTAGTTCCAACAATACTTTAACTAGTAAATGTGCTTTGAAAAATATTGTGTTACTAACCTTGTTTCTACTAGTGCTCTTAGCATATGAGTATTTCTAGGATCCTTTCCATGCTGTTAATACGAAAAATTAAGGAAATTATCTACCAAAAAGTAGTCATAGTATATGAGATAGACATTCATTTGATGGATATAAAAACTATGAACTTAATACAAATATTGTGTTCTTATATTAAATAAAAATGCTGAAAAAAATGACATGTGCAAGACACTTGTGTAAAATTTAATTGTTCTTATGTACTGCAGAAACATGACATTATCAAAAAAAAATATTAGACTCCCATGGAAATGTGATAGAATCAAGGCCATATGTTATTGGTGCACCCAAGGTGTTTGAACTACCATACGCAAATATTGTCCTCTAGCAACCAAAGGCGCTACAAGAATCTTATGCATACGTTATATTTTTGGAAAGTGATTTCTACGCACATTATAAACTCCTATTTATTTATGGCCAATTATAAACTGAATAAATTAGAAAATTTTCTAACTAATCATATAATACTCAATTGTAAACCATATTTGTACTTCGGTTAGCTTTTCGAAATACCATGATTAAGTGACAATTAATAAAACAAAGGAAATATTTCTACAAACATAGGAAACTAGCTCTCCATGGAAATCACAGACAATTAAGCCCTCTAAACGCCCTTATCCATGCATGTTCAACCCTTTTTCAATTATTATTAAGAGGAGGGGAGGGTACGAAACTATTACAATAATTTAGGGGAGGGGGGAGTTTGTATTAACAGTAGGTGAAGGAAGAAGAAAGAGATGAGCGGGACAAGAGAGAGAATGGGGATTTCAATTGTATTGCTTATTACATGATAAGGGTCAATGAGTCATACAATATGTTGTACAGCAACCCGACTTTACAACGAACTTGATCAATACAATCATAACAACTGGCATATGATTATTAATTTCAAACCCGAGACGTATGGTAGTTCAAACACCTTGGGTGCACCAATAACATATGGCCTTGATTCTATCACATTTCCATGGAAGTCTAATATTTTTTTGATAATGTCATGTTTCTGCAGTACATAAGAACAATTAAATTTTACACAAATGTCTTGCACATGTCATTTTCAGGGCAGTGTGGAGAGAAGGCCATTTAGTGGCTAATTGTTACAAGCAGTTTTTTCTAATGCTACTTTGAAGTGGCAGCAAAGATTCGAACTCTGGAGGTAAACCATTTACTGGATGATTATTGGTACTGTAATTCTTCTGCAATTCTGGTGTCATAAAAGAGGTCAAACACACATTCATCATTTTCCCATTCCTGAGCATAATTATTATTTGGTGCTCTGGTCTAAAGTAGTCTCAAATATAGAGCAGTACGTTGTTCAAAATACTACGCAACCATAAGGCACATAGTTCTACTTCCTCATGATTGAGAGTTGAGATACATATAAACACTAACTCATCTTTTAAACTTCCATTTCCAATTTGTTAATTTATGTATACGTTCATATATGTGTCCAGTTATACATGGTTTTCAAATTAGCAACTGCATACACACGACCCATCTTTTCATTAGAACCACATATATACTTCATATCAACGAAGACATGCAAAATCACAAATCCTATAAATTGACAAGATTAGGTAGTGAAAGCAACTAAGACGACAAAATTCATACAAGCTCTTCATCTAGTTGAAAAGTAAATTGTCTGCAAGTAAAAGGGGACCAGGTTCTAGTATGTAACCTTCATATTATAAATTTTTTATTTTTGGTGGAGAAAGGAAACCATCCAAATTTTCTGTTGTAAATAAGTTTTTCAACTTGATTTGAATCTTTTTATGAAACAAAGAACTTGGACCTTTTGGCTTTTGCAAAGGCATGCCACATCATGTTAAAGACAGAAATTCCTTAAACCTCTCTCTATCTCTCCCTCAAAACCTTCTCTTAAATTATTAGTTCTTTCTTTTCACTTGTTACTTCCTTTTGTAATCAACTTTTTCACTATCATTATTTACTCTGATTGGTGATGACAGAGGCATGGCTACTGTATCTTATATAAGAGTTTACCAGAAGCCGTGAAGCGAGGGAAAAATAATTTTCCCCATATATTTTTTATTTAGTTATTGGATTAAACAAAATAAAGGAGAACTAAGGACTAAATTAAGAGGTAGATGCGTAAAGTGAAATAAAGGGTGCATAAATCACTTTATATTAAATGAAGTCTAAGAGAAATTTGACTACATTTGAGATGTCACAGTGTACATAAATCACTTTATTTTCTTCACTAAATTAATTTTATCTATTTTATTTAGTTTTAGTAATTATCGTGATTTAGTTTATTTGTATGCACATATTTTTGTACATCACCTACAAAATTGTTTTGTGTTGTACGAAGTTATTACTACTTAACTTCGTACACTTTTTTCAAGAAAAGCTTAGTTTCCCATTTGAGAATTAGTTGGATTTCATGTATGGATGCGAAAGCATGACTACGGTCCAATTAATTCTTGAATTGTCCCATTTTTTGGACAGTTTGGGAATGCAAAGTTATGTGTTGTAGTTTGCAGTTCACGGATTAACTTTCGATAGTGGAAATTTTGGTAACATTTCTTGATGTTCTTCGAGTACACGGTGGATATTATGTATCTACAGCGTGCACTTGAAGAACTGTAAGGAGATGCTGCCGAAATTAGCCCACGTCAAAATTTAATCCATTGGAATCGTAAATTACGGCACATAACTGTGCATTCCTGAATGGGATAGGGCCCTTACTGGAGGAATAAGGTGACAAAATAATAGTTAAAGTTGTTGTAACTCTTGTACTTTTATTGGGATTGCAGACAAAATGGACAGACAGTGGATACATAATCATAATAGATGTGTTATTCAGTACTTGGATGGAATAGATGAGTTCATTAAATTCGCCACTAGACACAACCTAGCTTCAACTCATATCCGATGTCCATGTAGGAGGTGTAACAACTCAATGTGGGAGACATTCGAAAATGTTCGATTTCATTTAATAAGAAATGGGATGATGGAGACCTATACTACTTGGTATTATCATGGAGAACGATTAGACCAAGCTTTGTCTTCATACGTGACACGAGTGGAAACTGTTGAATCTAATGTGGATCCTAGTGAACAAGTTATGAATATTCTAAATGACGTTTATCCATACGCCTCGAGCAACACCAATCAGGAAGGGGGAGATGACAGTCGTCCAACCATGGACAATGAGGCATTCAAAAACTATGAAAAACTATTGAAAAATGCGAAGCAAGAATTATATCTGGGTTGCGATAACTTTTCGGTGCTCACAGCAATTGTGGAGTTTATGCATGGTAAGATCAAGTTTCGTTTGTCAAACAAGTGCTTTGATTACTTTTTGGGAGTTATCAAGAGGATGCTCCCAAAGGAGAATTGTTTACCTGAAGATCATAAAAGTGCCCAAAAAGTGTTGAAGGGTCTCGGATTGGGGTATGAAAAAATTCACGCATGTGTAAATAATTGTATATTGTTCTATAAAGAGAACAAACAGTTGGATAAATGCCCTGTCTGCAGTGAGTCGAGGTTTAAAGTGACATCACAGAATAGAAAGACCAAGATTCCACAAAAAGTAATGCGTTATCTTCCATTGAAGCCTAGGTTGCAGCAATTGTACATGTCGATGCATACCGCAACCGACATGAGATGGCATAAAGAAGGACGGGTAAATGACGATGTTATGAGGCATCCTGCAGATGGAGAGGCATGGAAAGAATTTGATCGAATGTACCCTAATTTTGCAGCTGACCCGCGCAACGTCAGATTGGGACTTGCCACCGACGGATTTAATCCGTTCGGGGTTTTAAACCAAATCCACAGCACTTGGCCGGTCATTGTTTTTCCTTATAATCTGCCGCCTTGGAAGTGCATGAAAAAAGAATACATGATGTTGACTCTATTAATTACCGAAGATCCAGGAAAGTCCATTGATGTTTATTTGCGGCCATTGGTTGATGAGCTAAAAGATTTATGGGAAAACGGTGTTCGTACGTACGATAAGTATACTGGGCAGATGTTCACCATGCGAGCGGCAGTGATGTGGACAGTAAAAGATTTTCCCGCGTATGCAATGGTTTATGGGTGGATGACTAAGGGTTATTTGGCATGTCCAATATGCAAGGAGAACGTAACATCGTCCTGGCATGCGAGAAAAGTTTGTTATCTTGGTCATCGTAGATGGCTCCCTTGGGATAATGAGTGGCGTCATAATGATAAAGCCTTCCATGGCACAAAAGATACTCAGCCAAGACCAAGAGAATGGTCTGGAGATGAGATTTTGGATCAGTTAAATCGATTGGAATTCGGTCATTTCGGCAAAGGGGTCAGTAAGCCCAGACCAACTACACATCTGAACTGGATGCACAAAAGTATGTTATTTGAGCTCCCGTACTGGTCAAAGTTAAAATTGAGACACAACCTCGATGTTATGCATATTGAGAAAAATGTGTTTGATACTTTGGTCGGGACAATTCTAGACATTGAAGGAAAAAAGAAGGACATGATCGAAGCCCGCCTCGATTTGGAACGAATGGGCTTTAAATCATCCTTGTGGATGAAGAGAGTCGATGGTACATTGAAGAAAAGCCATCCATTTTTTACAGTTAAGCCGAATAGGAAGAAAGAGTTTTTCAACTTTATTTCTTCTGTAAAGTTTCCAGATGGGTATGCTTCCAATATCTCGCATTGCGTGAACGTGAAGGGGGTGTAAATTTTCAAACATGAAGAGTCATGACTGTCATGTGATACTCTAACGCCTTCTTCTGGTTGATATTCGACACTTATTGCCTCTTGATGTGGTGAAACCAATCGTATTGTTGTCGAGATTTTTTTCGCAGTTGACTGCAAGGTGTTTGCGGAAATCGGATGTTAAACAATTGCAGAACGACATTGTGAATGTCTTATGCAAGTTCGAACAAATATTTCCCCCAGCTTTCTTTACAAGTATGATTCACGTGATGATTCACTTGCCAGATGAGGCATTGCTTGCCGGACCAGTGAACTGTCGATGGATGTATCTAATAGAAAGGTACTTAATTAAGCGTCTATATATATAACAGATTCATGATCAGCGAACGCTTTGAATAATTTGTTGCATACCTTTTATTTGTGCAGATATCTTGGTGAGTTGAAAAAGTGTGTTCGAAACAGGGCAAAGCCTGAATGATCACTGGTGGAGGCATGGGTTGCATATGAGTCACTTACTTTTTGTGCAATGTATCTTGAAGATGTTGAGACAACTTTCAATCGTTCTCAACGCAATAATGACGGTGGTGTCAAAAAAGAGAAACTGTCTGTTTTTGCCCAAATTGCACAACCATTTGGCGATCCTGTAAATGGCGAATCGTTTACCAAAAATGACATGGAGGTAGCGCATTGGTTCATACTCAACAATTGTGACAATGCTTTGCCATGCCTTGAAGAGCATGAACAATTGATGAAGCGGGAACATCCTTCACATTTATATGCCAAGAAGCACCGTGACTTGTTTCTTTCGTGGTTTCACGCACATGTAAGTTGTATGTGGTTTGAATAGAGCATATTTTCCAACTTGTTCATGCCTTTCTTTAAATTTGGTTACACTAATATGTTAACTTTTTGTATATGTCATATTAGATGAACAAATTGAAGGAATTGAATTCACCCTCTTACGATTAACTTGGCTAGAGGACCGCTTCACGTTGAATTGTTCTCGAGTTGTCATGTAAACGGGATCAAGTTCTTGGGGGCAACACGTGATGACAAGTCGTCTACTCAAAATAGTGGTGTTCATGTCCCGGGTGTAGGCGACAGTGAAGACATTGATTTTTATGGCAAACTAACTAGTGTAGTACAATTGCTTTACAAAGATAGGTGTCAAGTGACACTGTTTAAGTGCCTTTGGTTTGACACAAACCCACATAACTGAACGAGTGTTAAGCGAGATCATGGTTTACTATCAGTAAACACTACGACACATTGGTACGATGAAGACCCATACATTTTAGCAACTATGGCGAAACAAATATTCTATCTAGATGACCCTAAAGCCGGCAATGGTTGGAAAGTTGTTCAGAAGATTGAGCGAAGAGGGCTATATGATATTCCGGAACTAGATCATGATGACAACGACGACATCGCTGACCAACAGTTATCATCTTCGATAGAAATTGGTGAAGAAACACTCTGAGATACTAATATTGTCCAAGAACCGTTTGACATACCTGGAGTACCCGAATTCGAAATATCAATTGACCTTGGTGATTTGCCTCAATACAATGCACCAGAAGAGGCAAATGAAGATGAGGACGACTGGGAATCCGGAAATGATAGTAGTGAGGATAGCGAGAGTTATTATTGTAGTTCAGATGAGGATTAATATAAACTTGTAAAGGCAAAAGCAGGAGGCTGGGGGTTTAACACTGCTTCTCATCTACCCACATTAATATTCCCAACAAATCGTCTGATCGTCTCCATTCTATAAAGATAAAGATATCATGTAAGTTTTATGTTTTATGTTAGTCTCATGGAAGGTTGTGATGTCTTTTCATTTGAGTTGTCATTATTATATCTTTGATTACCTACTACCAAAGGTCTGTTTACCTCTATGTCCGAATTATTGAAATTTATGGATGACCTCTTTGCAGGTTGTGGCCCAAACCATCCGATCATGCTATGAAGGTATGTGTTTTCTGTTATCACTGTTAAGTGTTAACATAATTTGTTATTTTCTTTTTTTTTTGTCCGACTACCAACATTTATGCTGAGATCCTGTGAGTTTTATGTGCATTCATCTTTGACTCAGCCTCAAATGATGGTGGTCTCAGATCTGGATGATGTATTTGTTCCATTGCCTAATGATCTTCTTGTTAATCTATCTAAATCAAGAAGTGTGTAGTGGAGTCTATGTTTCAAGACAACGTGAATGTGGAGTCTGCTTTTGGTCCAGCTCTTAAAGCCTCGCTTATGCTTATGGAGTGTGAGCTTATTCACAAATAGCAATTTTAATTTTACCTTTGGATAAAATTTATCACCAATTATAAAAGCAGTGTGTTAAGTTATGTATTCCTTGAGTAATTGACTATTAAGTACTTCATTATGCAGTTCCAAAAGTCTGGTTGTTCATTTACTTTGCATTAACTTGTGTCCACGCGTGTGCTTTTGTAGAGTAACCTTGGGGGAAAATTGTTAATTTTTCAAAATACACTGCCATCTTATGGTGTTGGTTGCTTAAAGTTGCGTGGAGATGATCTAAATAGCATCCAGTAAGACTACCAGAGGATCCTTTCTACAAGCAGATGGCTGCGAAATTTACCAAGTTCCAAATAGGGGTGGATGTGTATGCCTTCAGTGACAAGTACACGGACATAGCTTCATTAGGTACATGTTTATAGTTTAATCATATTCTATTTCACTTTCATAGAACCAAAGATCAAGATGATGTTGACAGATAGTAGGATCTTCTGATGATACTTCTCTACATTAATATGTTGAGAACTCATATATTATCCACCAATTTTGTAGTTGTTGCCCTTGTGGGGAAATATGCTTTAACCATGGTTTTCTCCAATTTATTGTATTAACTGTTCTCCTAGAATATTGTAGTGTTTCTTCCCTGTAGTGAACATTTTTTAAGAAAGAATTTGAATTTACATATTTGAAACTTTTACTGTCTTGTTTGTAGTTCTTGTTTATCAGGGTGTAATGGTTGTTTGAAATGTGTTCAAAAAACTTTTACTATCTTGTTTGAATTTACATATGTTCGTCAAGTGATTTATGGTGATGATCGATTGCTTGTTATGCAGTCTGAAGATACTGATGAACTTAAAATGCTACTTCTTAACCTTCCAGTTATGTCTTTACATCACATACTTGATATGTTATTCTCATCTGATGTTTTGTAAGTTGGATTGAATTTTATGTCTCTAAATAGCAATGTCTGATGTCGAGGAGAAGATTTTCCCCGAGAAAGCACAGGTTAAGGCTGAAATATCTTGATCACGTTTAGAGGAGCAAATTAAAGACTGGGAATCTCGTGCTCGGTTGTTGGAAGACGAAATCAGACAGATGAAGTCTGGAAAAGCAGAAATGGAGGAGAGACTGAATGGCGAGATCGCACAGTTGAAGGCAGACATCCTTGAGAGAAGCAACCAAATGGAGAATTTAAACAAGGCCCTTGATGCAATGAAAACAGAAAGATATGAGCTCAGCACCAAAGCCACAACACTACAGGCAAAGGTGAGTTCAAGAGACGATCAGATCAATGAGATAAACAAGACCTTGCAGCATATGCAAACGGAACATCAAGAACTGCTCAACAGGGCTGAAGGGGAGCGTAAACAGGTGGAGGAGCTGACAGAAAGAGCAAAGGAACTCAAAGAGGAGATTCAGAGGCAAAGAGTTGTGATCATGGAAGGATCAGAAGAAAAAAAAGAAGCTATAAGGCAGCTATGCTTCTCGCTCGAACATTACAGGAACGGATATCATAGGCTTAGATAGGCGTGCATGGGAAACAAGAGAGTTCCGGTTTTGGCAACTTAAGCTAAACACAAAACATGTTGTCATCGTTTGTGTAATACATAAATTTTTTAGTGCCTTTTTTTGTATCGGGGTCTGAAATGGCCAGCTGAGTGATGAGCTATAGGCCATGCTCTCTCATGGTTGAATGAATGTGAGGTTTGTGTAGTGTAGTATACATATAGATGCAGAGGGGTCCTGTCTTAAGGACCCATTTGAGTCACTAATTTGCCCTGAAAAATGGTGGAGAGGGCAGAAATTTGCGTGATAATTCTGGTTTGGTGTTTGGTTTTGGGGTTGAAATTGGCACAATTGAAAGTGTGTTTGCAAACTTAAGACACATGACTGGATATTCATTTGCTCTTTAAAATTTAGGGAAAAAAAGGCATACGGACTTTGGATCTTGTCATTTTACCCTCCGAACTTTCTATTTGGTTTTGTGCCTCCTAGGCTTTCAATCTGTGCCATATCTTTCTCAATTTTATTAATTTCATTACGTGTAATGCAGTTGACTCTTTTCATGAGCATATACACCAACCAAATGTTTTATCCACAAGAAAAATTACCAAACAGTATTACTAATAATGAAAACTTGAATCGGATACACTACTAATTAAGGCAATCTCCAACTATGGAGGGCTACATAGGCCTCAAAAATATAATTTTTTAAGGAATAATAACAAACTAATTTGTTAAATTTTCAAACACAAAATATATTCAACATAAAGTATATAACACAAAATCTTTAAATTTTCCGTCTTCAATCTTATTGGCTAAATCTTACTCTCTCTATATTTTTATTACGTACCTTTTTAGTATGCCCAAGTACCTTTTCACCATGTCAATAACTAACAAGCTCAAAAAGAAATGCCTAATTGCTTGGGGGTGGCACTTTTTAGGCCTTCTAGAGGCTGATTCGAGCCCCAAATACACCCATTTGTAAATGATCTTTGGCTGGAGATTATTTTGTTCAATTTCAAGGTTAATATTGACCAAATTCCCTTTGATTGGAGATGGTCTAATTAACATCCCAAACACACAATATCACTACAAGTATAGCACAGACGTCTTTGGTATCCACTTGTGTAAATGTTTTAAATTGACGATCAAATTAATTCATTGTGTTCATATAGGGTTAAAGAGTGGAGCTGTAAAAAAAACATCAAAATCGGAGTTACAATAACTGTTAAATCGTGATTTTTTCGATTATTGCCATCGAAAAGGTTTGTCCCGTTACTTGATAAATGAATGTTTGTTTTTTGCGATTTTTGGTGTACACGATCTCGAAGCATATACAAACAACTTTGACGGTTGAATCGTTAAAACTAGTTTCATACAACACGTATCACATAAGTAGGACATGATTAAGTATGAAGAGAGTTGAATAATTTCATTCATAAGTTCTGGATTAAACGCCATTTAGATGACTTGATGTAGCTCTCATACTTGAACTTCAAAGTGATGAAGTCCAACATGTGTTTCTGTACATTTGGTTTTCCTGTGTCTTTACTTCATGGCGCAAGAATGTATTCACTTTTATTAGTCCAAGTGGTGATTAGTTTCAAATGCAAGAAAGGATTAGTTGCTAAAGTTATATTTTTATGGTTCAAAAAAGTGTATAGATGTCGCAGTTGATCACTCGTCGTTGGAGTGTGACCATTGCGCCTCCCGCATTATCAGCATCTACTGCTCCACCCATGAGTGCTCCATTGATTCAAGAGCCTACACCCCTTGCTGAGGCTACTTCTACAACGTCTCAGGTGCCCATCTCATCGATGTCATCAGTGTCGGTTCAGCTGCTCAGTGCATGGTGGCCTCCCCGGCGTCGCCACGAGCCAGAGCCTTCTGATCACACTTCCTCGGCATCCAAAGTCAAGGGTGAGGCCTCCCAGCCAGGTACCTTTTTTCTAATTCTCACTACGTTGCATTTTTTTTTTCATTTTAAAATTATTATTTTTATGATGGTGAAAATATGCTGGATTGTAAAAATGTGTTGCAACTTGTGAATTACTGTTATTTTATTATTTTAAGATTTTGGAAAATGCTATACTATTAGGGGAGGTTGTGTCAAATTTTTTGTACAAATTTAAGCCTAAGGTTTTCACCATTTAAGTATTTTTGGCCAGCTAAAAAAAACACCAGGGGGCCTAATTGAATGTTGA